TTTGTAACCTGTCCTTTAAATCGGCTTCTTAACCCAATGACTGGAAGTTAGCTAATGTAACGCCAATATTTAAAAAGGGCTCTAGAGGTGATCCCGGCAATTACAGACCGGTAAGTCTAACGTCGGTACCGGGCAAATCAGTCGAAACAATAGTTAAGAATAAAATTGTCAGACACATAGAAAAACAAACTGTTGAGCAATAGTCAACATGGTTTCTGTAAAGGGAAATCGTGTCTTACTAATCTATTAGAGTTCTTTGAAGGGGTCAACAAACATGTGGACAAGGAGGATCCAGTGGACATAGTGTACTTAGATTTCCAGAAAGCCTTTGACAAGGTCCCTCACCAAAGGCTCTTATGTAAATTAAGCTGCCATGGGATAAAAGGGAAGGTCCTTTCATGGATTGAGAACTGGTTAAAAGACCGGGAACAAAGGGTAGGAATTAATGGTAAATTCTCAGAATGGAGAGGGGTAACTAGTGGTGTTCCCCCAGGGTCAGTCCTTGGACCAATCCTATTCAACTTATTTATAAATGATCTGGAGAAAGGGGTAAACAGTGAGGTGGCAAAGTTTGCAGATCATACTAAACTGCTCAAGTTAGTTAAGACCAAAGCAGACTGTGATGAACCTCAAAAAGATCTCACAAAACTAAGTGATTGGGCAACAAAATGGCAAATGAGATTTAATGTGGATAAATGTAAAGTAATGCACATTGGAAAAAATAACCCCAACTATACATACAATATGATGGGGGCTAATTTAGCTACAACAATTCAGGGAAAAGATCTTGGAGTCATCGTGGATAGTTCTCTGAAGATGTCCGCGCAGTGTGCAGAGGTGGTCTAAAAAGCAAACAGGATGTTAGGGATCATTAAAAAGGGGATAGAGAATAAGACTGAGAATATATTATTGCCCTTATATAAATCGATGGTACGCCCACATCTCGAATACTGCGTACAGATGTGGTCTCCTCATCTAAAAAAAAGATATATTGGCACTAGAAAAGGTTCAGAAAAGGGCAACTAAAATGATTAGGCATTTGGAACGGGTCCCATATGAGGAGAGATTAAAGAGGCTAGGACTCTTCAGCTTGGAAAAGAGGAGACTAAGGGGGGATATGATAGAGGTATATAAAATCATGAGTGATGTGGAGAAAGTGGATAAGGAAAAGTTATTTTCTTATTCCCGTAATACAAGAACTAGGGGTCACCAAATGAAATTAATAGGCAGCAGGTTTAAAACAAATACAAGGAAGTCCTTCTTCACGCAGCGCACAGTCAACTTGTGGAACTCCTTACCTGAGGAGGTTGTGAAGGCTAGGACTATAACAGAGTTTAAAAGAGAACTGGATAAATTCATGGTGGTTAAGTCCATTAATGGCTATTAGCCAGGATGGGTAAGGAATGGTGTCCCTAGCCTCTGTTTGTCAGAGGATGGAGATGGATGGCAGGAGAGAGATCACTTGATCATTGCCTGTTGGTACACTCCCTCTGGGGCACCTGGCATTGGCCACTGTCGGTAGACAGGATACTGGGCTAGATGGACCTTTGGTCTGACCCGGTACGGCCGTTCTTATGTTCTTATGACCTGGATTCTAATTGCAGACTCCTACTGACTCACTTGTGTGACTTCAGGCAAGACACTTAACAGCTATGCCCTAGTTCTCCAGACCTCTCATGCAGCACTCAAAAGTCAGGAGATTTTAAAAATGGCACGTTTGTGGGGTTTTTGTGTCTTCTGCTTTTGAAGCTTCTCCACAACCTAGAGACTTATTTAAAAAAACAAAAGCTGAGATTCTCAGGTGATCACATGACCCCAGAAGCAGGGGATTTAAGAAAAGCACGGTTACAAGAGCTGGCAAAACACTGCCCGTGTGATGCATGTGATTCTACCGGTCCTACAGGAGTGTCAAGGCGCCAGTTGTGTTTGCAGAGTAGGTGAAAGGTGCTACAAAAGGGCAAAGTATTATTAGTTATCTATTTCTGCTATGTCAGAAATGAGAGACTGTCCCTCACGGAAAACAGCAGAGTATCACACGGGCTCCTTCAGCAAGATGGAGCGATCCACTCAGTCCTTTTAAGGCAAGTAAAGCAGCTAGTTACCCAGATGCAAGTAATAAGGAACAGCCCATAGCCAAGGAAACGCTAAAATCAATGGAGTTAAAAGTATGAGACAGAGACACTCAGGAAACCACTGCCAAGATGTGGGGGGTAGGAACTGACCCTCAGAGTGCAACTATCCCCGGAGTGCCAGCTCCAAGATAGAGGAAGTGACTGGAATCCATTCTGAGCAGGATCCTTTGACTGAAGGAGCTGCCCTGAAAGGCCAAGTATGAGCTAACTCCAGACCCCCTAAAGGTAGTGCTCCTAACATACAACTTCTAAGGACACAGCATGGGGGTCACAGCAGGCTGGTTTCACAGCACTTGTGTGTTAGACATGCTCTCTCCCAAGGCAGGTCCTGGGAGGCTCCCATAGACTGGGAATTGAACTGAATTTCCCCTGAATGAGGGTCTGCATCGATACAAGGTGCAGCTAATGGAGACTGCTTGCCTTAGTGCAGGGGTGGGCAAACTTTTTGGGCCAAGGGCCACACTGGGGTTGCAAAACTGTATGGAGGTCCGGGTAGGGAAGGCTGTCCCTCCGCAAACAGCCTGGCCCCCGCCCCCTCCCCACCCCCTGACTGCCCCCCTCAGAACCCCCGACCCATCCAACCCCACTGATCCTTGTCCCCTAACCGCCCCCAGGACCCCACCCCCTATCCAACCCCCCCGTTCCCCATCCCCTGACGCCCCCGCCCCCTGACAGGCCCCCCGGGACTCCCACGCTTATCCAACCCCCAGAACCTCTGCCCCATCCAACCCTCCCCTGCTCCCTGTGCCCTGACTGCCCCCTTATCCAACCCCCAGGCCCCAGCCCCCTTACCATGCTGCTCAGAACAGCATGTCTGGCAGCCGCGCCGCCCAGCCTGAATGTGGCCCACGGGCTGTAGTTTGTCCACCTCTGCCTTAGTGCATGACTGTCAGGCTTGATTCAAGCTCTCTATTAGAGGGCTAACAGGGGCTGCATAGTAGAACCGCAGGGGCCCACGCTCTGACCACTCAAACTCTCCAGTACAGAGCTCAATCAGATACCCACAATCAATCAGCCTCTTCCAATCCCAGCACCCAGATTGGAGATAGAAAGCACCTATTACATCACCGCAAGACCAGTGAGGATTCATCCCTACAGCATGTTTCCCCATAAGTTAGTGCTTTGTCCAGTCTAGTTTTAAAGCATCCTAACAGCTGGGGCTTCCACAGCTTCTGTTGGGCAATCAGCCAAGCTCATTCAGCCCCCTGAACTTTTATTTGGTGCTTCCCTAACTCCTTTCAGTTCATCAGTCTCTTTTCTGGAAACAATGTGCTTAGCAAATAATCGTTCAAGAGCAGCTGGGCCCAAACTGTGCAGAAGCGCTGTCCCCTTCCTGCTCCGGACGGTCTCTAGAAAAGCCCTGCAGATGCACACTGCAGAGTCAATAGGATCCATGCTTCCTCCAATGCACTCTTCACTGATGTTTTACTTCCCCATTTTATAAGCCAGGGCTGCCAAGAACAGCATGCTGGCTGTGGAGCTGCGATCATGTTACAGATGCAAGGAAGGGCTGTCTCCCCCACACTCCTTTTGTTTCCCACTCTCCCTCTCAACCAGGATATGAATCAAGGCAGGAAAGTTAGCAGGTTTGCACCCAGTTGGTCCTGGGATTGTGCTCTGATTTGAGACAAGCTCCCGAGAGCCCCCCTCTCAAATAAAGCCAGGACAATCTTTGAGAAACAAGACAGCCCAGACCCTTTCCACTACCCAGAGCGCAGGAGCTCCCAACTCCACTCTGCTGGCAAGAAAGCTGACGGGTGGGGTTCACGCTCCTCCACCCCTCCCCAAATACCAGAAGTGGTTGTTTATTTCACTGGCTCTCACTTATCTCCTGTTATGTGCTCCAGACTTCTTCTTCTTCGGCATTTGCATGCGCTTTCACCACCCAGAGAAAGCCTTGGTGCCGAGCCCCTTCCCCTGGAGCCTGTGCCAGCCTCGCACCCAGGCCCTTCCGACATCAGACCTTGCCAGACATAAGCCACCCTCCCACTCTTTAGTTGCATGCCCCCCCCCCACCCCACTCCTTCCTGGCCACTTACCCCCTGGCACCCTCCAGGGTTACATGGCCTCCAGTCAAACATGAGCTCCACACCCCCAAACGGGTCATCCCCTTCCTAAGAAACCCCCTCCCTTGCCCATCATGATCAGGAACAGAGGGAACCCCAGTTCCCCAAACCCAGACCAGACCCAGACCTTCCACCCCAACGAGGGGGCTTCTCCCTACTGACCAAAGAGCAACAGGTCTCAGGAAGGGCCTTGGCCACAGGGCCATGCAGGCAGTAGAGAGAGCAGAGAGTGACCCCGAGTGGCAGAGTGTCCTGGGGGTATGGGCAGGCTTGGGGTGTCCAAGAACAGAGGAGGTCCCTATGTGCAAGTGGCAAGGCCCACCCAGAGCCACCCCAGGACAATGCTGAGGGCAGCATGGGGGTCCTATTGGGGTCCAGGACGGTGTTCCCCACAGGAGTCTCCCTCGGGGCAGAGGCTGAGCAGGGTGTAGGGGTCCCCCAGGTGGGGCAGAAAGGGTTCTCGCCCAGGACCAGCACACTCTGCTCCTCAGCATTTGGCAGGGTGGAGAGGGGGGGTTCAGGGGGATGGCGCCGGAACGGGGGGGGGGGAGCTCTTCAGCCGCCACAAGATGCTATTCCTCACCTGCCCGAGGCTTCCAGTTTGGGGGGCAACGCTGCCCCTCCCCCAAACGACACTCATGTTAAAAAGTGGGGGCATAGTCCCCTGGCTCCGGCAATGGTGCCCCCCACTTCTACAAAGGTTTCTGCGCCCTTTCCCCGGAGTAGGAAGTCCGAGCACTCGCGGCCCCTCTGCGCTCGGGGGAGGGGGCCCGCCGGGAGGGGGGGGGGTCCCGGCACTCACGGCCCCTCGGCGCTCTGGCTGCCCACGATGAAGCCGAACTTGTCCACGCGCCGCTCCCCACCGCCGCCGTTGATCTCGGAGTCGGAGCCCAGCGAGCTCAGCTCGTCCCCGGCGCCCGCCTCCCCTGGGGCCCCGGCCAGGCTCTCGCGGCTCCCGGGCGCGCCCAGCCCGTTCACCCCACGGCTCTTCGCCATCCCGGCTCCGGCTCCGGCTCCGGCCCTCCACGGGCGGGGAGAGGCCGCTCCACGCCGGCCGCCGCCGCAGCGACCCCACCACCGCCCCCGCCTCCGCCTCCGCCTCCGGCCAATGGGCGTGGCCCGGAGGTGCCGGCGCCCCACCCCGATGTGCCCATTGGGTGGTGGCGGCTAAGGGGGCGGGTTCGCCTGACCCGCTCTGCACACGCCTCCTCAGCCACTCCCAGCCAGTAGGAGAGCAGGGCTCGCCTCTGCAGTACTCTGATTGGTCACTCGCAGAGGGAAGCTCACCAATCACTCACTAATTGGGGTGTCAATCAACAAACCTTCCATTCCCTCTCCTTCATCAACCACCCGGGGTTCGTCCGGCTAACAGCGAGGGGGAGGGGCTAGACGTGGCATGTGGGCAGGGGCCCCTGCAGAAAAGCTTCTCTCACCGCACATTGAAATGCAGCCACCTCTGGGGTGGGACGTGGCAGCTGTTTAACAGCAGGGGGTGGGACTGCAGGGGGGAAGAGAGCAGCCCGCTGAAACTGGAGGCGGCATGGGGGAGAGGTAATTCCTTGGGTCGGACCCAGTGGCGTCACCCCTGACACTTCAGAAGTAGCATTTACAAACAAATACATTCTGAAAAGGAAACCTCTGGAAATCAGCCCCACCCTAATCTTAGTACCTGAGCCCTGAATTCCAGGATCTGACTGGCACTCTGCATGAAAGGTGATGGAGAAAGGACTAGGAGTCAGGATACATACGAACGTAAGAACGGCCATACCGGGTCAGACCAAAGGTCCATCTAGCCCAGTATCCTGTCTACCGACAGTGGCCAATGCCAGGTGCCCCAGAGGGAGTGAACCTAACAGGTAATGATCAAGTGATCTCTCTCCTGCCGTCCATCTCCATCCTCTGACAAACAGAGGCTAGGGACACCATTCCTTACCCATCCTGGCTAATAGCCATTAATGGACTTAACCACCATGAATTTATCCAGTTCTCTTTTAAACCCTGTTATAGTCCTAGCCTTCACAACCTCCTCAGGCAAGGAGTTCCACAAGTTGACTGTGCGCTGTGTGAAGAAAACTTCCTTTTATTTGTTTTAAACCTGCTGCCCATTAATTTCATTTGGTTGCCCCTAGTTCTTGTATTATGGGAATAAGTAAATAACTTTTCCTTATCTACTTTCTCCACATAACTCATGATTTTATATACCTCTATCATATCCCCCCTTAGTCTCCTCTTTTCCAAGCTGAAAAGTCCTAGCCTCTTTAATCTCTCCTCATATGGGACCCATTCCAAACCCCTAATCATTTTAGTTGCCCTTCTCTGAACCTTTTCTAGTGCCAGTATATCTTTTTTGAGATGAGGAGACCACATCTGTATGCAGTATTCAAGGTGTGGGCGTACCATCGATTTATATAAGGGCAATAAGGATATCCAGATGCCCCTCACCACTAACTGTGCTATGCGTTCCTACAGGTAAACTAGTTCTAATACCTGTTCGCCTGGCCCGGCTGTTGTGAGGCTAAATGAGTATTTGGGTTTGGAAGGTGCTGTGAAATACTCGGAAGGAAGGCCCTGTATGAGTAACATGATGTTATCTCTAGGCAGCCTGAGCTGAGGCCTTGGCAGGTGAAGATTTGAGGCTAATTCAGCACTCTAGTTGGAACATAAAACATCAGTCTGGGGAGGGGAACTTGAGATTTTGCTATCTGCAGTTTTAGCCTTTGAGGGGTGAGAGACAATACCTCATCCTGTGGCAACCCCTTTAGTCAGTTCAGAATTGTCATTCACAGCCCAGCCCCCCTAAACTGGCAGGATTTACTGCTGTCTGAACACTGGGGAGTGGAGGTAGTACAAGGGAAATCAGGGGGTGGGGCCAGAGGATTTCTCACTTCTCCCCAAGAAAAGCAGAAGTTCCAACAACTGCATAGTCAAATTAGGGCAGGGAAGGAAAGGGATGGAAGCAGGGATGTGTTAAGGGGAAACAATGCCCAGATCCACCAAAATCCTATGGCATTCTGGAGAGATTCTTCCTTTCACCTTATCCCCAGTGGACTCATGTTTTGCTCCTGAGTCCTCCATCTTCCTCCCAGTCCCAAGTAAGGAAAGCTCAACTTGCCCACCCCAAGAAGCCTCTGGAATCCTGCTCCTCCACGACTGATTCCTTGCTGCCTGGAGGCCAAGCCTCTTGTGAGAATTGCCTGAGAAAGATCCACTCCTGGCTAGGATCAAAGTCCAGCAGGTCCTTTAAAGTTTTACAGTCGTGGATAGAGAATAAAGTCCTTGTTTGTGTTCAGAGTATCCTCCTCTAGAGCAGTTCTTCTAGGGCTGATTAAAAAGATACACACAAATGAGCAGCGAGTGCCTATGTACCATGTGCTCTCATTGGATGCCAGCCCAAGTCACTCCAGGGAAAAGGCTGTAAACTAATGGCTTAGATGAATTCAAGTCAGTCTATGAAGTTGAGTTTTTTGGTGCCAGCCCTGGAGCCCCCAGAGTCATGCAGTAGAGCAAGTCCCTCCTCTACCCTGCCACACCCTGGTCTCCAGGGACTAACCCTTCATATGAGAAGTCCGTTCAATTTCCATGACATTTTGATCCTCTGATACTACCACCCAATTGCTAATTAGTACTCACTGGGGGTGTCCATCTGTCTCCCCCTGTTTCCATTCGCATAGGCCCAGGCCTATTACACAGCTCCCCTCTTTCTCACAGCTCCCAAGCAGGGCCGACGAGCAGGGCCGGTGCAACCTATTAGGCGACCGCCTCGCTAGCATTTGGGGGGCGGCATTTTCTTCGGTGGCGACCGTGGCGGCCGGATCTTCGGCCACCCCGGTCGTCGTCGGCATTTAGGTGGAGGGAGCTGGGGCAGGGGGGCGCGGGGAGAGCTGCCTGCAGCAAGTAAGGGGGGGGGGGCGGCACACAGAGGAACTCCCAGCCCCAGTTCACCTCTGCTCTGCCTCCTCCCCTGAGCACGCCGCCCCGCTCTGCTTCTCTCCCTCCCAGGCTTGCAGCGCCAAACAGCTGATCGGCGTCACAAGCCCGGGAGAAGTGGAACAGGACAGCTGCTCGGGGAAGAGGTGGAGCAGAGGTGAGCTGGGATGGGCAGCTGCCACACGGCTCCCCGGGCGGAGGGGGGAGCTGCCGCGGGGGGGGGCACCTCAGGGCGGGGAGGGGGGCGGGGAGCTGCCGCAGGGCTCGGGGACGGGGGAGGGCGCAAGGTGGAAGTTTCGCCTAGGGCGCGAAACATCCTTGCACCGGCCCTGCCGACGAGAGGTGGGGGAAGCCGGTACAAATTACCGGGGCCCGGCTTCCCCCCCCCTTCTCGTCAGCCCTGTTTAGCCAGTCCGCCCTTGCTGGGAGGCCCGAAAAAAAATTTTCACCGGGGCCCAAACCCGCTCTTGGCGGCCCTGCTCCCAAGTCAGGCATGGTGGGAGGACAGTGCTGGGTGCTCTCATTCCCCCACACCCAGGCCAAGGGAGGCAGATTGCCTGATATCGGAGCTCCCATGTACACCCTCCTTGCTCTGGGGCTGGTGCAGGTGGAGCCCTGTAAGCACAGATCAGAGCTGCAGCCAGCTGCTAGTGCCCTCTCCTCCCCCCATAAATCAAGTACCTGGCAGGGGATGCGATGGCTGGGGCAGAAGTGCCCTTTTACTGCTCCCAGACTTTGAGTCAGGCCGCTCCCCTCCTCTCAGTGGGGCCAGCGACAGTGGCTGGCTGGGAGCCAGCCAGAGACGTAGCTCTGTGGGGCTGCAGAGGCTCCCCAATGCCCCCGGTGTAGGCGTTACATGGCCAGCTCAGGGGGCACCGCTGGGGCTCGCTGCGAAACGCTGCCGTGAATGATTCCACAAGGTACAAGACAGTGGAGAATCAGGGCCTGGGGCCAGATCTGGACAGGGAACTTACAAATTCAAGGAACTTTCCATTTCCGGGACTGAGTGCAGGAATCAGAGTGACAGTCTCTGGCCAGTGCGATACAGGAGGTCAGAAATTATCACAACAAAACCTTCTGGCCTTGGAATCTCTATAAGTAAAACACCACCATGGATCCCTTACCATCCCTCCCCCGAACCTTGGGCAATGAGAGTCTGTTTTATCATTGGCTGTAATTAATACATACAACAGTCCTTTAATCAAAACTGCAACTTCAGTGAACGGGAGCTTGTGCATTTCTATAGCCCAAGGTTAGGTTAGTCTTTATGTGATTCTTTACCCTAACCCACTGTGGTAGGTCAAGTTCAAAGCACCTGTGTGAAGCAATCTGCAATCTTTCTCACCATCCTAAACCTTTCAGGGTTGATATTAACAAGTGTGTTTCTGAAAGTTGATGCTTTAAAACAGGGCCGGCTCCAGGGTTTTGGCCACCCCAAGCAGCCAAAAAAAAAAAAAAAGCCGCGATTGTGATCTGCGGCAGCAATTCGGCGGGAGGTCCTTCGCTCCGAGCGGGAGTGAGGGACCGTCCGCCGAATTGCCACCAAATAGCTGGACGTGCCGCCCCTCTCCGGAGCAGCCGCCCCAAGCACCTGCTTGCCAGGCTGGTGCCTGGAGCTGGCCCTGCTTTAAAAGCACAAGAGCAGCTCAAATCTGGCCCCAAATTTTGCTTGAAAATAAGCTTTTACAAAACTGAAGCCAATTGGAAATGTTTCCATCTGTTTTCTCCCCTTCACATTCCAATGGAAATTGGCTTTTTCATCTATTAACAAGCAAAGATTTCCCCACAGAGTGTAGGCAAGCCAAACATTGCAGCTTTGTGTTAATGCACCAGAACCTGACAGCAAAATTGACTGTAAACCATAAGGAAACCAGTGTTGCCAACTCCTGTGATTTTACTGCAAGTCTTGTGATATCTGAAAGTTTTCTTAAAGCCTCAGCTCCAGGATTCATGTGATTACATGAGAATTTCAGCTATTATTTAATAAAAGAGTAAATTTTGTCAAAGTTAGACTCAGGACTCACAGTTTGTCAGACCAATCTGTTTTATTAGCACAGCACTCTGCTAATAACACCCAGA